TGTGCTCGTGCACCGCCGGCAAAAGAAGAAAACGATCGGCGGGCATCCGGGGCGAGGGCCGCGCGGGGCTCCTGCCGCGACACGACGGCGGTCCGCGGCCCCATGAGGCTGCGAAAGCCGCCCGAGCTCGAGCGGCTCTTGCTTACTCGGCATCGCGTTGTTCGATCCCCGTCGCAGGTGGCCTGACGGTGCCGAGACCCCCGGGGGGGGGGGGGGCATCGTAGGGAGCCCACAAAGGACGTACGCGCCCAGCTATGTACATGAACGCGGCCCCTCGATCTGCGAGACTGGCCGCGTGATACGAACTTTCGGGCAATGTGTACTCTCGAAACCAGCGTGGATTCATGTACGTGTACGTCCTTCTTTCGCTCCTGACATCGGGGCTGAAGCTGCCGACGCCACTGCTCGAACGGACTTCGCGCCGCGAGGTGCGCCCTGCGGGTCCGCACGCTGGCCCCAGAGCCGCCCGAGCCCCACCTGGGAGACGGGGTCTGCACCCCGGACAGTGTTCTCACGGGCACGGTGGGGTCGGGCGAGAGGGGGGGACAGCAAGAGGGGGAGAGCGGCGAACCAGCTCGCGTGGCGGATTTTCTCCTGGCACCTCCAGGCGCCAGAGGCGAGGAAAGCGCCCCGCGGGCGGAGAACAGACGAGCCACGCGCCGCGGATTTCGCGGCCCTCCCCCCCCCCCTTCCCAATCCCCTGAGGGGAAGCTTTCGGAGGGGCCAGCTCAGGCGGGGGAGAAGCATCGAGCTGGGATCGGCGATGCCTCGCCGACGGATCGGCGCTGGGCCCCCGATGGCGAAAGCGCCATGTTCCCGGGCGGGTGGGCGCGCTCTCCCCTGGGCCTGCCCCCCCGCGTGTGGTCGCCACCGCGACTCTCGGGTCACAGCTCGGCTCCCTGGCCGTCCTTCGGGACGGTCCGGGCCCCCCCGTGGAGCGCCCTCGGGGCGAGGCGCAGCTGCTGGAAGGCGCCCCGAGGCCAGAAAGCCGCCGAGCACCAACGAGAACGTCCGAACACCTTGCCCAAAAGTCTTCCCCCTTCCACCCGACCGACCCAGGGAATCCCGAAACGGGCCCCCAGGAGGCCCAGCCCTGGGAGAGCCTCGCGACTTCGGGGGGGCGTCGGCCGAGAACCCACGAAGACGCCCGAAAACCTTTGTCCCAATCGCCCCCCCCTGGGGGATCCCGAAAAGGGGCCCCCGGAGGCCTGGCCGGGGAAAGCCTGGGGACGCACTCCGCGTGCACGCGCGCGGCGCGCTTATAAGCACCGAGGGTGCCCAGCGTGGGCGCCAGACGCGCGCGCTGGGGCGAACCAAAAGAACACCCTCCTCCCTCCTCCCTCCTCCTCCCTCCTCCCTCCTCCCTCCTCCCTCCTCCTCCTCCTCCTCCTCCTCCTCCTTCCTCCTCCCTCCTCCCTCCTCCCTCCTCCTCCCTCCTCCCTCCTCCCTCCTCCCTCCTCCCTCCTGATCTCAGCCTACTCGTGGGACGCACAGACATTCTACTACTATACGTCCTCCGTGGAGGCGCGCGTCCGACCCGAACGTGCAGTATACCCATCTGGTTACGCATCGTTTCCCGAGCGGTGTGGCCAGAAAGCGCCCGCCACGACGCATATACTAGAAGAGTTCTCGGTGCGCGCGTCGCCCCTGGGGGGCGACGCCCATCTAGTGTAAGTGTGTTGGGGTGACGCCGAATTCGGGTTGAGACTTGAACCACACAGCCTGCTCTCAGCAAATGCGGGTGTTGCCAGGGGTGTCCCTGGCCCCAAGTTTGTCCCCAGGACTTCCCGGGGCCCAGGTGGCCTCCGAGAGTACCCCCTCGAGAGGCCCAGAGGACCCCCGGAGGGGCTCCAAAGTGGCGGGAGAAGCTGGGGACGCCGTGGGCCAGGACCGCGTCCAGCAGCACCCGACCCGTCTTGCCGAGGTCGGAGCCTCGCGTGGCGCCGGAGGCCTCGGCCCGAATCCCCAGACAGCCCCCCTCCCTGACCGCCCTCCCGTGGGGGGTAGGGGTAGGGGTAGGGGTCAAGCTAGCCAGCTCGAGCGAGTCAAGCATGGCATGCCCATTCCCACCCGCCCTCCCACCACATAAGAAACAGTGGTGGCACAACTGGGGGCTGCGCGGGCATTTCAGTGCGAGTGGGGGATACCCCAGGACACCGCATTGACGTCCGCGCGGGATGTGCGCCGCGTCCCATTCCCGCCACGCATTTCGCATCGTCGACGACAAGACTGGCCATGTTGAAAGGAACAACGGACACGTTCCGCCCTCCCACAACGTAAGAAAGAATGCTGGCGCAACCGGAAGCTGGCGCGTAGTGGTAGTAGTAGTAGTAGTAGTAGTAGTCGTCGTCGTCGTCGTCGTCGTCGTCGTCGTCGTCGTCGTCGTCGTCGTCGTCGTCGTCGTCGTCGTCGTCGTCGTCGTCGTCGTCGTACGTCGTCGTCGTCGTCGTCGTCGTCGTCGTCGTCGTCGTCGTCGTACGTCGTCGTCGTCGTCGTCGTC